GCATCCTTGCTACAGAACTAATCTGGGGTCTGTAGTTTGTTGGAACATCAGAGCAGAGCCATATTTTGACCATACCAGGAGAAGCCATGACTCACTAGAAAAAGACAATCATGCTTGGTAAGGTAGAGGACAGCAGGAAAAGAAGAATACCACATTCCAGATGGAGAGACTCAGAAGCCATGCCCATGAGTCTGCAAGACCTAAGGAGGACTCTTGAGGATAGGGTGGTCTGGAGGTCAAAAATCATTCATGGGGTTGCCATAGATTGAAGCTGCCTTGATGGCAGTTAGCAACAACAAGAAGCCGCCTTGAAGCTTACAACTGAGGAAAAAGTGGGATCTAAATGAATACATGAATCATATCAGAAAGGCCCAGTTCAGTTTCCATTGTCCCCTTCTCCATCTTTCAGGGTTAGGTCCCGTAAGAGCAGGGGGAGGTGGGTTGCTCCAAAGCCATTCAGGTGGTGAATCTACACCAAGTTCTAGCCTGAACTTCAATGGAGATATTCAAGGTCCTGAGCTTATTCGGTGTGTGTGTGCTTCAGCGCCTTTACCATTCATACTAAAGTCCAGGACAGGTTCACCACTCCAATGGCTGGACAAAGTGCAGTCCTGGGGCTGCAAGTGGTCCACTGCAGCACTTTTTATGGCCCTTGACAGCTCCTGATTCCCTGAACCATTCTCAAAAAAGAGGGTAAATTGTTTCCCCTTGAGACAATTTCAACAGGTTGCAGGTCACCCTCTAAACATCAAAAATATATTTTGTCCCCAAAATAGTAGAGTTCTGGTCATTTCAGAAGTTTGGGGGACATTTTGGGAGGAAAGACCCCAAAGCGGAGTGACCACCACCCCGACAGGAAAGCCACTAGTCTCTTCACCAAAACTAAATTGTATTTTATTCCTTTAACGAGTGATGTGTTTTACTACTGTAATATGAATGGTTTCCAAACTTTGGTCCTCCAGGTGTTCTGGACTTCAACGCCCAGAAACCCTAGCCAGCTTGGCCAACAGTTGGGAATTCTGGAAGCTGAAGTCCAAAATATGTGGAGGACCAAAGTTTGGGAATCATTGGTTCAATTTTATTTTAATGCTTACTTTTGTATGTTTTAAAAATGTATTGTTCTTTTAATTTGTAAGCTGCCTTGTGTCCCAATTTTTTGGGGAAAGCAGGATGATGATGATGATGATGATGGCAACAACAACAACTGAAGTGAGTGAAGATTGGTTACAAGTAAAACAGCACAATCCTTTGAAGAGTATGGGATGCTACATTGATAGACCAATTTTTTTGGCTATCATGGAGATGGGGAGGAATTTCAGAAGAGGTGGTTTGATGACTCTGATACTAAGGTGTTAAAAATTCAGCAACTAATTAGAAAATGGAAGCAGTTTGTCTTCAGAAGTATCCAGCTACAAGCTAAAATAAATATTTGTTGTTGTCATGGGCCTTCCAATTGATTCCAACTTATGGCAATTCTCTCCTAGGATTTTTTTTGGCAAGATTTATTCAGAGGAGGTTTGCCGTTGCCTTCCTCTAGGGCTGAGAGAGCATGACTTCTAATGACACCAAGCTCCAGCTAAAGTAACTCTTGCCAGGTCTAGCCACTAGATGTCACTGCCTCACTTGCTAAACGCTCCCTGGCTACGGTACTTTTCGACAACATGTTATTAATTTATAATAAAAGGTCTCTGACAGCTTTATTTTGATGAATTATGAGAATCCAAAGCATAATTCCCAGCCTCTGGTGTATAAATTGTCATTGATTTTAATGTTCTTTGTAAAGTTGTGTCACGCAACAAATTTTCCTGCCAAGAGCTGTTAAACATAGAGGCATCCGCTGCTCAGAGTAGTACATCAAACTTCTTAAGAGGGAGTGAGCAGAATGGATTGATGGTTATCCATAAACCATTTATGACAGACGGCACACCAGCAGTTCAAACAATTATTGGGGACATTTATTGTAGATTTCACCTTCTATCTAAAATAAACAATATGCAGAAATACCTTCAACTCAGCATAAGGAATAGATGGAAGCAATATAGACATACCTCAGTTAATAAAGTGTCTGACAAAGAAGCCCCTTTTTACATAGTCTTTTTATTTCCGCCCAGGCCCCGTTTTTCCTTCTTGTCCCCTGTCTAGTGGGAAGTTTATTTAGCAGAATCAGCATTGGGGGAATGGCAAAGGAGGGCTGAAGAAATACAGACTTGCAGTGTCAGATTGTAGCAGCAAGTCTGTAATAAAAAATGCAATAAGTGTTGAAATGGGAAAGACTGGGATTCTACTCTAGCTGATCCTACTACAGTTGTGTGGGCTGCCTACAACAGACAAAGTTAAGAGCAGCTGCCTCCAGAAGTCCTTATTGGGTATGCATCAATAGCAAAACAGAGAAAAGGGGAAAGCAGATATGCCTGGCTCACCAGTCACAGAATCCTAGAGTTGGAAGAGCCCCCCAAGGGCCATCCAATCAAACCCCCGGCCATCCAGGAATATACAATCCAGACACTCCTAACAAATGGCCATCCAGCCTCTGTTTAAAACCTCCACAGAAGGAGACTCCACCACACTCCAAGGCAGCGTGTTCCACTGTCAAAAAGCTCCTACTGTCAGGAAATTCTTCTCAATGTTGAGGTGGAATCTCTTTTCCTGTAGTTTGAATTAATTGCTATGGGTCCAATTGTCTGGAGCAGCAGAAAACAAACTTGCTCCCTCCTCAATATGACACCCCTTCAAATATTTAAATGGAGCTATCATGTCACCTCTTAACCTTCTCTTCTCCAGGTTAAACGTACCCATCACTTCTCATAGGCCATGGTTTCCAGATCCTTCACCATTTTGGTCACCCTCCTCTGGAAATACTTCAGCTTGTCCACATCCTTCTTGAATTGTCATGCCCAGAACTGGACGCAATATTCCAGGTGAGGTTTTATCGAAGCAGAAGAGAGTGGTAGTATTCCTTTCTCTTGATTTAGACACTGTTCTCCTATTGATGTTTCGAGAAGGATCAAAATGTTTTTTTAATTTATGCAAGGCTTCCCTGACTTTGTCTCATTCTACATATGCAAATTATTCCCTTTGGATAAAAAGTTTGCTGAAAAATAGTTGAAGTGCTCTTCTCTTTTGTAGTGTAGGCATCGAGCTCCATTCTTTCTATGTGATTGGAAAGGCATCAAAGTTTCTGTTAAAGAAGTAATGGCCAGGAACACATTTACTTTGTTAATTGCATTATGTCTGTAATGCGTAATACTAGCTTGACACTGTTCACTAACAGACGATTTTTTTGGAGGGGTTGACTGGAAGGCAATTTAAATGGTTGAAACAACAGTACCCTTTCCCTCGATTATTCTGTTTCTTGTCTGAGATTTTGGGATTCTGTGCCTTGTGTTAAACATAAAGTCATTGTGAAGTCAACATTTCAGCTGCTAGCCCTATTGGATATTTGGTTTAAGTCCTTCGGGAAGTTACTATTTTCTTATCATCGAAAGGAAAATATAATGTAGTTTTTTTCTCAATGTAGAATGTTGGCTATCTTGTTATAGCTGCAGATTATAGACCATGTCCCTGTATCTTTACACATATATGCATCACAAATATCTGTGTGTACATACACACACACCCTCTAGGTCTATATGTCAGTAGATGTCTGTCTCTCTGATCTTTTTTGTCCTTTCCCTACATGAGCGTGTTTACAAGTGAACATTACATTCTGCTCCTTTCATCTGCTGTGAAACACAGTTGAAAAATTATGGTTTCACTTAGTTGTTACCATTATTTCCATAGTGAGAAATAAAAAGGGCAACCAATGTTTGTAGTGAACTCTTCACTTTTTCCAATTCCATTTGGTTTGACGCACCGATTTAATTTTACTGTATTAGGACCGCTTCCCAATAGGTGCGCCTTTCTAAAATCCTGATGGGAGTGTAAAACAGTGCACAGTACAGCTAACACTGGACAAAAACCAGCCTTGTGTGTGTAAAGCTCCGTACAGAAACCTGTGATTCATACAAGCGCTTAAACATTTAAGATCTGCTGCTTTTGATTTAAACAGATGATTAATCTGCCTGTTTAATGACTGGCTGAAATCCAGGAATGTAACTACCTGGGGGGCACATAATAAGAACATTT